CTTTGTGTTCACTAATTTTATCACTAGCTCCAATCTTCTTGGCTCTAGGATTATAAAAATAATTTTATATTGTTTCACCTTGTGCTTTTATCTTTTATTTAAACCTTAGCTACTTTTTTGGGTTATTTTGGTTTCAGTAGGGAAATCAACATCACTACTTATGCATAGTTTTTAAAGAAAATATAGGTTTACTTTTGACATCTGTATACATAGTGACTTCCCCAACAAAAATATAAGTATACAAAGATATATACAGACAATTTCTTCTCAATGTATCTTCTCTCATACATGAAAAAATCTTAGGTGGAAATAAGTAGATACATGAGCACTAAGGAAAATAAAAATATGTCTTCCCCATACACCTGAATATTTAGAGTAATTAAATTTGTTTTCTTGAAACAAGGTCTCACTTCATAGCCTTGGTTGGTCTGGAACTCACTTAGTAGCCCCAAACTCTTCACAATCCTCCTGTACCTGTCTCCTGAGTGCTATGATCTCAGGTGTGAGCTAATATACCCAGTTGAGAAATTTAACTATTAATTCAATGGTAGACTTGCTGCTGTCTTGGGAGGGCCCACTCTCCCTTAATAGAATATTGATAACTCTTTATGTTATTTATCAGTGTATTTATTTAGTAATAGAACATCAATGTATCTTTCTCTTATTATCAGTATATTAATTTACCAAGAGCATCCACAGAAGTTGATTCAACTCCCTGTTCATGGTTCTTGTGCTCTGAGGCAACAGAAGGAAGCAGGTCAATAGAGACTCTATTGAAGAAGCATGATAAAGTCACATGTTAGAATTTACACAGTAGCTTTATCTACCTGCAGACTAAACCATCCAGCTCTTGGCTGGGAGGTCCTGGAGTCCATAGCTGCACTGCCTTTTAATTTCTAGTGTAACAGCTAACTGCTGATTTGGATCTGTTTTGGAGGAAAGAGGGTGAAGAATGTCTGGCTGTCTGGCTCTTGGCCAGTGGTTCTCAGCCAGGTGTGATTTTGCTTCCAGGGGACATGCATCTGAGTCTGGAGCCATTTCTGGTGAGCACAGCTGGGCATGTGAACAGCTCCTCCATCTAGTGGAGAGAGACTGGGGTGCTGCTGGGCACCCTACAATAGTCAGTGGAGAGTCTGGGGTGCTGTTGGACACCCTGCGATGGGTAGGGCAGCTTCCCTGGTTAGAGGACTGACTACAGTGCCTTTGTTTAGGATTGGTAGTTTAGATAAGCAAAAATCTGGGTTGTGCTGCTATTTAGACTTACAGAGTTAGAAATACCACATTTAAAAAGAATGTAACACGAATAATAAAAGACTCAGCTACTGATATTGTGGTTCAGGGTTCAAGCTAAAGATCAGAAAAGCAAAGCAGCCAACCACTGCTCTTAACCTCTACCCCAGACCAAAAGGGTGATCCATTGAACCTCAGATTGCATCTCCAGACTGCTATGCTCTTTTCAGCGTGGCTGGAGACTAATTCTCACACGAAACCCTTTGCTTCTTCCTTTTATTCCTCTCAAATTCTGGAATTAAAGGCATGGGATCCCAAGTGTTGAGATCACCATTGTGTTAGCTGTTTCCTCTTTTAGATTGGATCAATTTCATATAGCTCAGTATGGCCTTGAACTAACAGAGATCTGTCTACCTCTGTCTCCCGAGTCCTGGGATTAAATGTGTGCACCACCACTGCCTAGCTTCTATAGCTAACTAGTGTGACTGGCTTTGCATTCTGATACTTCAGGTAATCTTCATTAAATCATAAATAATGCATCACTACAAAAAGATGTTAACATCTGCATGCTAAGAATTAATACTTTTCATGACTTATATGAATATTTTCAGTGTTCTTCATGGCCAGCTGCTAGATCAATGGACCCCCTTTTTCCTTCTTTGATACAAAGTCTGTAGTCATGGCTAGCTAGTCTGGAACTCACTATGTAGCCCTGGCTAACCTTGAGCTCATGATGTTTCTACCTCAGCTTTGATAGAAGGATTTTATTATTGTTATTCACCTTTTTTTGTTATTCACTTTTTTATGTAATGTAAGACATTTGAAAATTTTTCTAACACATGCTGAAACCCTACTAACTACTATCTCATATTTATAATCTTCTAAATTGCATTATCTTCCTGGTTTAGTTTTCTTATGGCCTGCTTTCCTCTCTTTAAAAGCATTCTGTAGATAATTTAAACCATCTAGTAAAAAAAATCAGTGTTCTTACAATAAGTGACATATTAATTGTGGTTACAGCAGCAGTTTTACAGTAAAGGAGGCTCTATGAACCCCACAGCTCTGGGAGGATCGTGCTCACTCTCCTGCTTAGGCAAGGCTAAAAAAGGAGACAGAAGCATGTCTGCTATGCAGTTCTGCGTCATTAGTGCTGGCTTGCCCCTGCCCTTCTTTCACCTCTTTTCTTCTGACCCACTTCTGTGTGTTTGGCTGTAGTACCTTGGCCAGAGGCTATCCTTAATAGAGAATGTGGCAGGAAGCTTGGCCCACGAGTACACCTAGAAAATACACGGAAACAGTGTTGACAAATGCGTCAGTCAGTCATCCATGGAAGCTCAGCTTCATTTAAACACCACATTCTGGGGCTGTTGAGATAGCTTTGTGAGTGTAGACACTTCCTTGCTGCTTAAGCCTGAAGAACTGAGTGTGATTCTTGGAAGGAAAGAACTAACTCCTGAATGCTGGCTTCTGACCTCCATCCACACTTCCACCATGGCACAGACATTCCAACCCCTCCTCCCCCAGTAATAACAAATGAAAATAAATACATTCTATACAAATAACTTTTCTCTTTTCCCTCTAAACTCTTCCTCTGGCACCAGAAGGGATCTCTGTGCTTGACTGCCAGGGTCATTGATGTGCCTGGTCAGCCAGATAGTGCCCAGATCGATGGTATGAAAGAGGATTCCTGTTGAATCTGTTGACTTCACAATCAGTAATTGGAAGAGTAACAGATGAGCCAAGTCAAGAATGGAGTGCCCTTACTTAGTTACCACTCTTAAGCAGCTCTCCAAATGCTATAGAAATTCTAATTGTTGGCATTGGTGTTTTGACAGGCTTTATACTTTAGAAGGAAAACTGATCGAGAGTGGGTCAGAGCTGGAGAACGGGCAGTTTTACGTGGCTGTTGGCAGAGATAAGTTTAAGAGACTACCTTACAGTGAGTTACTTTTTGACAAGTCAGCGATGAGAAGGCCTTATGGGTAAGTCTTCTTCGTTCTTGTCCACTCACTCTCACTCTTTTTTTTTTTTTTTTTTTGAGACAGGGTTTCTCTGTGCCTATCCTGGATCTCGCTCTGGAGACCAGGCTGGTCTCGAATTCACAGAGATCCGCCTGTCTCTGCCTCCTGAGTGCTGGGATTAAAGGCGTGCGCCACCAATGCCTGGCCACTCTCACTCTTTAGTTACTGCTTGAAGTAATACTGGAGCAATGTCAGTGTAAAGGGAGGAAGAGGGGGATTAAGAGTGGGCAATGAGGGTAGAAAGGCCATTATCTTGTGTGTTCCCGTCTATTTGGAACATGTAAACATAAGCATGTGATTGATGGTAGATGTGATGGTGCACATGGTATTCCAAGCCCAGAGGTGGATGCAGGAGGATCAGGAGGTTAAGATCATCCTCAACTATATAGTGAGTTCAAGGCTAGCCTCTCTCAAAATGAAACAAAAAAAGTGTTTTCTGTAACCACCAGTCTTAGTCATCAGTTAGAATAGATGGCATTCATGACCGAGAACTGTTGCATAAAACACACTGTTGGAATTTGCGAAAAGATCAGCACCAAGTTTAAAGTAAACACAGAGCTCCATTTTTGTGAAGAAGATAACAGGCAATGAGCTCTCTGTATAAATCTCATGGACAGTTTTAGAGTCTAAAAGTGTAGCCAAAACACACGGATTTTCATTTGGTTTGTATAGAAACTTACAGAAGCTTACACTCATTATTATTTTTATTTGTTTATCTTTTTGAGACAGGGTCTCTCATATACCAGACTGACCTCTAACTTTCTATGCAGCCCACGCTGGCTGTGAACTTATACTCTTTTCTGCCTCTACCTCTGAGTTCTGGGATTATAGGCATGCATAGCCTCATCTGGCTTACATTCCCTCCATCCCCTTTAAAAAACCGTAACATATAAAAGCAATGTAATTGTACTTGTACAAACAGATAGGGAAGCTGAGTATAGAGTCAGTGCCAAACCTTCAGACTTGTATGTGTGTGTGTGTGTGTGTGTGTGTGTGTGTGTGTGTGTGTGTGTGTGTGTTTACTTGTATGTGGACACACGGATATGTAGAGGTCAAAGGTTAATGTCAAGTATCTTTCTTGGCTGCTCCCAACTTTATTATTTGAGACAAGGTCTCTCATGTAAGCTTGCTGATTCAGTTTAAGGCAGCTTGTTCCAGGGACCCCTTATCTCTGCCTCTTGAGCCCTGAGATTACAAGGCAGTCTCTGTGCCCAACCAGTATTTCCATGGGTTGGAGACTCTAACTAGTCTTCACGCTTCTGTAGCAAATACTTTATCCCCAGAGCCATCTCCTCAGCAAGTGGTTGTACTAGGTATGCTTTTCCTCTTGGAAGTACCCTTTGGGAGAATGTCAGGTATAGCCTAGTGTCTGTGCTGTAGAGCCTTGAGCTGTGACACTGGAGCTTTCTGGGTGGGTGTTGGGGATTCATCTCTGTTGATCTATACAGAGTTCAGGGCCTCTTGGCTCTTAAATTTGCCTTTCCATGGCTCTTCTTTGCAGAGGCAGAGTGGATCATCACCACAGAAGCTGAGGCTTCTCTGAGTAGCAGAATCAAATGTAGGGCCTATATAGGAGCCAAGGCCTTCATGAGCCTTAGAGTTGTGTGCTGACAGACTGGTTGCTGATTACTCAGTCATGAAATCTATCCTTTAACAACTTCTGCTTAGCAGTGGTTGAGCCTCCTATGAGCAGCATTGGGCACTTAGTGACAATGTAAAAACTGTGACTCATTGGCCTCTCTCATACACATTAATGAGGTTTACTGTTATATATGTGTCCTATTTTTGGAGATAGATTTCAAGATGGATTTTTGGCACAGACATCTGAAACTTAGGAATAACAATTATTATTATTATTTGGTGATGATTGACCTGTTTAAAAACTCCCTGAATATAAATGCCAGCACTTTTCATTCCTTTCCATCACAAGTGGACATAATAGACATTATTTTTTAAAGTCATCATTATGCTGGGTGTGGTGGCACACACCTTTAATCCCAGAACTTAGGAGGCAGGGGCAGGCAGATCTCTGTAAGTCCAAGGTCAACCTGGTCTACAGAGTGAATTTCAGGACAGCCAAAGATACACAGATAAACTCTGTCTCAAAAAACTAAAAAAAAGAGTCATTATTATTATTTTTAAGAGAGACTCTTGTGTAACCTGGGCTACCTTGGTACCTTGATACCTAAGACTCTGCTTCCTTAGGGGTAGGATTACAAATGGGGGCCACCATACCCAACAAATTTATTGCTTTGACTCAATCTGGCATAGTTGTTACTTAGCTTAAAAATGTTTTTATCTATAAATAGAAAGTTTGGGAATTTAAATTAAAACTGTTTGCCTTAATTAGGGTTTCTATTTGTGTGAGGAGACACGATGGCTGCAGCAACTCTTATAAAGGAAAATGTTTAATTGGGGTGGTTTACAGTTCAGAGGCTCAGTCCATTATTGTTATGGTGGGACATGGTGGTGTGCAGACAGACAGACATGGTGCTGTAGAAGTAGCTGAGAGTCCTACATTTTATAGGCAACAGGAAGCAATGTGACTGTCATACTGAGTGAAGCTTGAGAAAGAGATGTCAAAGCCTACCCCCACAGTGGCACACTTCCTCCAACAAGGCCATACCTTCCTCCAACAAGGCCACACTTCCTAATAATGCCACTCCCTGTGAGATTATGGGGGCCAATTACATTTAAACTACCACACTCTTATTAAAAAAAAACTTGTATTAAAGTTTGTTTGTAAGCATCAAGTCAGATAATATCTAGGAAACCATTAGAATTTAGATTTAGAATGGAATTTTGAGGTTTTATGGCACTAACCACAAGACTCAATGGACAGTGGCTTCTGGGAGGTGATAGCAGGTAATAGCTTGTCATACTTCTGTATTATTTGTAACCCAAATTCACATCTCTAAATTGCAATTTGTTTCCACAGTCAGAAAGCTTCTTCACTACCTCCCATAGTTGGATCGAGGAAGTCTAAAGGGAGTGTAAGTATCAGCAGCTTTCCTCATTAATGTTCTATATCTCTATAGAGCCATCCTTTGGGCTTCAATTAAATTCGAAGGAATAAATCTTAGCTACCTAGTGGAATATAAGCAACTATGTGAAACATTACTAGAATTTCAGTGTTATAACTGAAGTCCCAAACAAGAGCTAATGCTTTTAGAAGATAGAATCCAAAACCTTTTGCTTGTGTAAACATGATGCAGCTTATGTTGTGGGTATGGTCTGAGTAGTAATTCAAATGGCTGTGCCAATCTTGCTAGGTCACAGTAGTGCTTGGGTAGTCTTGTTGCCTGTTTCTAACAAAGACTAAAAAGGAAGGTAAGAAGATGGCCACCCTCAGTTGTCCTCTGAAAAAAAAAATCAAGAATATCCTAAATGTTTTATTCCACCCCAGATGTTTTCCCTAGTCACTCACTCCCTCACTGCTTGTTACCTGACCAAGGATTGATGATGTGCCTGTGATGTGGGAATCTGCTAACCGTTCATTCTGCACTGCAGCTCATCCTCCAACCTCCAGTCTGCACTGCAGCTCATCCCCTAACTGCACTGCCGCTCATCCCCCAACTGCACTGCAGCTCATCCCCTAACTGCACTGCCGTTCATCCCCCAACTGCACTGCCGCTCATCCCCCAACTGCACTGCAGCTCATCCCCCAACTGCACTGCCGCTCATCCCCCAACTGCACTGCTGCTCATCCTCCAACTGCACTGCCGCTCATCCCCTAACTGCACTGCAGCTCATCCCCTCACTGCACTGCTGCTCATCCCCCAACTGCACTGCTGCTCATCCTCCAACTGCACTGCCGCTCATCCCCTAACTGCACTGCAGCTCATCCCCTCACTGCACTGCTGCTCATCCCCCAACTGCACTGCTGCTCATCCTCCAACTGCACTGCCGCTCATCCCCTAACTGCACTGCAGCTCATCCCCCAACTGCACTGCCGCTCATCCCCCAACTGCACTGCTGCTCATCCTCCAACTGCACTGCCGCTCATCCCCTAACTGCACTGCAGCTCATCCCCTAACTGCACTGCAGCTCATCCCCTAACTGCACTGCAGCTCATCCCCTAACTGCACTGCAGCTCATCCCCTAACTGCACTGCAGCTCATCCCCCAACTGCACTGCTGCTCATCCCCCAACTGCACTGCTGCTCATCCCCCAACTGCACTGCAGATCATCCCTCAATTGCACTGCAGCTCATCCCCCAACTGCACTGCCGCTCATCCCCTAACAGCACTGCAACTCATCCCCTAACTGCACTGCCGCTCATCCCCCAACTGCACTGCAGCTCATCCCCTAACTGCACTGCAGCTCACTCTCTGATCTCCAGTCTGCACTGCACCTCACCTCCTAACCTTTAGTCTGCACTGTAGCTCACCCCAATCTCCAGTCTTCACTGCAGTTCAACCCCTACTGCACACTCTCATCCATAGCTCCCTTGAGGATGAAGTCCACTTTGTTTGGTGGGATGCTCTACCAGGTTTTTCTGTCTGAGAATTCTCTGATCTCTCTCAGTGGCCTCAGCAGGAGTGATCAGAACTGATCTAGCATTCCTACCCCACTCTAATTAGGTGAGCAGCAGTCATGTTGTGGTGTGTTATAAGTACTTGGGGAATCAGTGATATTGTCTCCTAATGAACAAGTATGTATCATTTCCTGCTGTCTTGTTACATGACATTCTTAACGAAAAAGATCATTTTCTGTTTGTATTGTTGGACTTTTCACTCATTCATGGAGACTGTGCTACTTATGACCAAGCTCTTATCCCTGATGCTCCTCATACTCTAAGGGAAAGACAGAAAACCACCTGGAAGGTTCTGAGCAGCCTGAAACTGAGTACCCAGCATATGACCACCAAGAACATACACTGTCAGCACTGCCTTTGAGTACCAGTGCAGATTCTAGTAGATGCAGCTGAGGAAAGGGGTTTTAGGAGCAGGGTGGTGTGAAGGAAGGAGAAATTGGGTACATGAAGATGCCGTCATGGTAGCCAGTATTCGGTGTCCACCCAAGTCCTCACTTTTAGGCAGAGAAGAGACTTAATGTAATGATTCCATAGGTAAGCCACAGGAAGTGGCCTGAGTAGAACATGGCGAGTCTAGACTAGGTTGACAGCAAGGGACACTGGAACTGATTATTATTCTTGAAGAGACAGTTTGCTTGGTGATTGGGTAGTTAAGGTTGCTGTAGAAGATAGAAACCCAGGTAATCACAGAGCTTTTGAGCTTTTGAGCTTGGATACCAGAAGAAAATGGTAGTTCAATGACCAGGAAGAGGACAGGCAGAAGAAATAATTAACAATGACTTGTTTCCAAATGTGCTGAATTGATTTGGCCAGCCACATAATGATAAATTTGAAGCACAGAGACTGTGTAGTACTGCTAAGACATAGGACAGCTTGGCATGACCCAGGCCATCAGTAGTAATGTAGCTTGAGGGAATGGATGAGTAGGAACCTGGAGGGGACAATTCAGGTCACCACAGGTGACCTAGGCATAGAGAATCTAACCTCTTAAGGTAGAGAGGAAGAGGAGACTTTGTATTTCAGTAGCTGAAAAGTATCTTTACCACTAAAAATTATAAATGAAACTATATACTCAAGGGTTTGGGAGATTTATTTATTAAGGTTTATTTTATTTTTAAGTATGTGTATGTGCCTTTGTGGGGCTATGAGCACATGAGTGCAGGTACCTGCCAATGCTAGAGAAGGGTGTCAGATGCCCTGAAGCTGGAATTACAGGCTGCCTGTATGTGGGGGTTAGGAACCAAACTTGTGTGTTCTGAAAGAACAGTAAGCATACTTAGCCTCTGAACCATCTTTCCAGGCCCAGGATTTGTATTTTATTCTCTAATTTTGTGGAAGAATTGCTTCTGCACATACAACATTCAAGTTTGAGTTCTTCACTCTCAGAGTACAATGGACAAGCAGTGGTTAAACAGAAACCCATTGTAACTGAATAACTCACCCAGAGTCACAGGGAAAATTGATGGCAAGACTAAGGTCACAACCCAGCTCTTCACATTCCCAGCTATTGCACGTTGCAATTTTGTGTTTACTAGTATGGAATCTGAAAAACTAAAATGTTCATTAACAATGTAAGACCGTATCACATGTTCCAGCACACTCATGTGGTTTCCATCCTTTCTCACTCACTCACTCACTCACTCACTCACTCACTCACTCACTCACTCACTCCCTCCCTCCCTAGGAAGATTTCTGAATACTTGTTCTCTGATGATTCAGTATTCAGGTGTCTGGTTGGGGATGAGCTGTGGGCAGGTAGAGATGAGTAAAAAGATGTGCATCTGTTTGATCGATGCGATGATAAGGTCTACTGCAGGAGACAACTGTTGACCCAACAATTCTGTAAGTCAGTGGATAACTAGAGAATGATAAAATAAATGGAAGAAAACTGCAGAACAGTATGAGAGACAACAAAGAAAAAGAAACAATTTAGATAGCTGTGCAGAGGTCTCGCTGAAGAAGTGACTCAAAGATATAAGGAACACTCCCATTCATTGGAAAAGAGGCTCAAAATGGTTAAATTCATCTCCATGTTATAAAATAGAAAAGTTAAACCGACAGTTTGCCTCTCTTCTCAGAGTGCCCCCACAGTGTTCTATCTATTCAGTACTCACATTATCAGTCATGCGTCCATCGACTCCATCAGCCATGCACCCATTCACCCCATCAGCTATCTATCCTTCAACTATCAACCACACATCCTTCTGCTCTA